AAAATTTTCACGAGGCCGTAGGTGATACTCAAGAGCGCAGGAACGCTGAATTTGAATAGGCAAGGTCGAGCGTGGGCAGGGGATGATTACTCTAAAATTTCAGTTTCTTAGACCCCGTGGTTCCCGAGATACTAATTTACCCGTAAAAAAATCACGGGACCATACGTGTTACTCGCGGGTACGTGGAAGCTAAATTTAAATTTGCGGGGTCACATTTGGGTGAGAAACGTTCCCCTAAATTTTCAGCTTCCTAGCTTTTGTGGTTCCCTAGTTGAAAGTTGCGGACAAGCAGCTGCGGACACACACACACACACACACACACACAAACACACACACACAGACGACCCGTGACAATATGCGTTTTGTACTGCTGCTACACAGCACAAAACGCATAATAAAAATGCTCCCTACAAAATATCCCCCATGTTCTCCTCCCACGATCTTCACCCCTACGCCCATACTTTTTTGTTTTGACTTAGGTAAGTCTTCTTCCTTTTTTCTATTCCTATTTTATACACAAAACGCGCAATAAAAATGCTCCCTACAAAATATCCCCCATGTTCTCCTCCTACGATCTTCACCCCTCCCAACGCCCATACTTTTCTGTTTTGACTCGGTTAAGTCTTCTTCCTTTTTTCTATGCTTATTATATTTTCGTATTTGACTTATGTCGTATTTTTCTCTTATTTTTTTTTAGATTATTCCCCCAAATTCACCTTTACACACATTTATATTTTTTCAATTGCCCTCTATTAATTAATACCACAATTGTCGCACTGACGAAGTCCAATCGTGGTGCTGAATGGGAATGTGTACGACTTAATGGACCGAGATATTCCTGCCCAACTAGTCTTTTAAAATACGTATATCTTTCTAAGAACACAATAACTTTAAAAAATAAACTTTGAATTTTACTTTAAAAAACTTTAAAGTAAACTCTAACTTTAAAAAATTCAAGCAAATAAACTTTAAATAACATTAAAAACTTTAAGAACGATAACCAAAAAAACCAAAAAAAAAAATAAACTTTAAAAAACAAACTTAAAAAAACATA